GTGAGAGTGAGTGAGACTAAAAAATGAATGAAAAATGATAAATTCAATATACAAACAGAACAATGTTAATAATCATGGAAATAATAAAAATAATGATAAAATATCAAACGTCAGTCCATTAATGATAACAATGTTACAGTTAATGTTTAATTTAGTTTCATTTTCAATCTTTACATTCACTTTAATTACAGGATAAGGTTGTTATTTCCGCTTCCGCTTGTAGGCAAAAAATGAATGAAAAAAAAGTTCAAAGTCATTTCAACAATAATATTATCGGTTTATATATATGATTACATGTATTATATAGCATCAATTCATCATCATCATCGCATGATGATGAAAAACTAAGATAACATTGAGAGAAAGTTCTGAATTTTTTTAGTGATTGGGTTAATATGTTGTTCAGCTAATTAGCGTTAAAAATGATCAGAATAACTTTGCAGCCAATTAGTAGTAAATTTAACAAAACTATCAAGTAGCTAATTAAAAAATGACATTGAACGTTTTTTTTACTCTTTCAAAATCTTATCATTTCAATTAAATATCGAGCAAAATCAACTCATGCTACAACTTTTCCCCTACAATATTATATCATCATCATCATCATCATCATCATCATCGTGATAATCATAATAATCAAGCACCAGTAAAAATAACCTTGAATACGAGCAGAAAAATATTAAAATACAGCAAGAAAAAAAAGTATCGATGTCAACACTCATTTAATGTATAATATGAGAGGGAAATTGTTTCAAGACGTAGCAAGTGAAAAAGATGGTTCATTTAATGTAATTCACTAATAGTTATCATAATAATCATGTTAATACTCTGTGAGTATTTAAGTAAATTCAGTATCAAGTGTATATAACACTCGGTGTGAATGTATGTGTTCATGGGGAGAGATTCATGGTTGTGTGTGTGTGTTTTTTGGGATCTCATCCAAGAAAACAATCAACATCCAAGAATGATTCAGCCATAGGAATGTAAACCTGAAACAGCAACAAAATTTTACATAAACTTGAATCATTTTTTTTTCTTTACTCAGATACATGGTACAGAATAATTTCCTCTGAAATACAGAAACACACACACACACATTGTACAACATTGCCAACAGTATAAGTAGCATCAACACTCACCATCATCATCACCAACGTATCAACATTGAGAGAGTAGCAACATGTTCAGGTTACATGTTAAAATGCTTTTGATAACATGGTAATATTCATGATGATGATCAACTCACACTCATTATAAACTATTAGCAGAAAAGTTTTAAGTATAATGGATTCATTTTCATCATCATTGCACTGGAAAAGACTTGATGGAAAAGGAAAGACGAGAGAACCTCAATAATAATAATAATAATATTACATGAGAGATGAAACAACAAACCCCTTTTTTTCACCATGAAGATAACTCATGAGTTGGATGAAACAATTTATTTGAAATGAAGCAAATTAGAAGGAAAAAAAAAATTCTTGATTAAACCAACACTCATTCAATTAGCATTATTAACATTGTTTCAAGTTTTAGGTTTACGGTGAGATTTTTTTTTCCTTACAATTCAGTTTATCATGGTAATCATGATAACAATCATCAACATTTTAATGATAAATTAATAGGGGAAAAAGGGTTGACAATTAATTCAAGTTGCTTAATTAGAAAGTTGGAAATCTATTAATGATACTTTCAGGATCATCATGGTAAAGTTATTCCTCTGGGTATTAAGGAAATGATATAAGTATCATCATCATCATCATCGTCATCGTCATCATCATTATCATGGAAGAAAAAAATTCATAAAGCACAAAAAGTAAGAGTAACCAAAAATTTCACACATTCTTAGTTTCCATCTCTCTATTCATGGTGGGTTTTTTTTTCTTGTTACCACCACACAACTGAGCAAACTTGAAGTTTCTTATTTTCTGGCACAGAGTGAAAACTGAATTACTTTAACCCAATTTATCATGATAACCAATAATACATGATATTTGTTTCTTAACAGTCAACATATAATAGTAGAAATTGATTGAGTTTATAAACCAGAATCTTTGAAACATTTATCAGAACTTTTTTTCCTCTTTTTCGTCTTCCTTTCATCATCGTCATCATCCATCCTTTACAGATAAATTGTTTGAAAGATATCAATAATGATAATAAAGTATTATTATTATTCATTATATTAAACATATAATAGGGAAAAAGAAACGGGATGAAATGTTGATAAAATACAATAAATACACAAGAAAAAAAGATGGAGAAAAATAAAAGTCAAATTTTGATGTTTTTGCAAATGAAGTGCAATTAGAATAATGTTGACAATTACATAACAACAATAACAATCATGATGATGATGAAACCATGAAGAAAGAGAGAGAGAGAGAGAGAGAGAGAGAGAGAGAGAGAGAGAGAGAGAGAGAACTGGAATTCAGAGTTTCTCAGAACTTTTGTCTCCTTTCTTCAATCAAATCTTCAGATTATTATATCTGATTGAGGATGAGAGTTGATATGTAGAAGAAAAGAAAATGAAAAGGATGCTCAAGAAAAGATATTGAGACAGGGGAAGAATGAGAATCAACAATGTTACAATAATGTCCAATTCAAGCTTAATGATCAACGGGTTAATAAAAATAACTGATTGACCTTTTTTTTTTTGATGGTTAATAGTTCTGGCTGAATCAATTTGCAGAGTAATCATTAATGAATAAAGGTAATTAGTAGCAAAAGAGGGAAAGAAAACAAGGCAATTGCATGATTGCAAATTACAATTTACAATAAACAATTAACCATTTCAATCTGTAATCGTGAAAGTGTTTTCTTCTTCATGTTATCAAAATGCTTTGAGAGATTTGCAAAGTCTATTGCGATTATTGAAAAGAGCAAAAAGAAATAATAAACTTGAAACTTTTTTCTCTCTATCATCATCCTCATCCATTTTGAAGTACTTGTATTAACTACTTATACTTAAAGAGGTAGATGATGATGATGATGATGATGAATCAAAAGGTAATCAACCAAAAAGAATAGAAAATAAATCATAAAAAATTGCTGAATTAAATGATAACAAGAAATGAGAAATAATAATAAATAAAGAGACGAGGTTAGTGTTTCGATTAAATCGATTCTGATGTTACAAGGAAGACAAGTTATTATATTTTTCAACGTATCTTCATGAGAGAGTGAGAAGATGATAAGGTAAACTCATGGTGAAAAAAACGAGACAAACCAGTTAGATTGAATAAGAATGAGCCTGAAGAAGAGAAAAAAACATGATGAAGGTAAAGAGAAAATGATGTTTGTCCATATTGAGTAAAAATACAGAGGAGGGAATCTATTACAGCGAAAAAACTAATTGATTTAAATAAGTAAATGATGATTTGGTTACGAAGAGAAGAAAAAAAAAACTCGTTTCAATAAAAAAGAATTGATAACAAAGTAGTAGAAACTATCAATTTTGTTTCGTTCCAACGAATGATCATTGAAACGAACGGATAAAAAAAGAAGAAAAAAATAGTAAACAAGAGAGAGAAAAAAAAGAAAACCAGAAAACCAGATTATCTTTAATCACTACTCACACTTTCACAATCAACATCATTAACGATCATCAATGTTTATATCAGAATAGAAAAGTGTTACATTTAAATGAACAATTAAAGGTAATGTTTAAATTGTAATTTTCACCTTCCACCAAACTCCCTTCATCCCCATGGTACCAGTAAAAAAATCATCTAAGTTTTCATGGTGAGTCTCTCTCCCTCTTTCTCTCTCACACACACAACTCTCACTAACTATTGATTTTCAGGTGTAATAGTTTTTCATCATCATTATGATTACAAACATATTGTAACTTTACTACTTTCATTATTAGAGTAATGGTAATGACTATTCAATATATGGATGTTCAATATATATATTTTGTTTTTCTTGTTTCCTATTCATCATTTAATACATGTATCAACGTACACACAAATTGATAGTAATTAATTGTATCAATTTTAAATGAACTTCATTGTGGAAATGTTTCATTGTAAGAATTATTTTCTATCATCAAAGAAGGGAAAATGTTGTGTAATAGACAGAAAAAGATACAATGAGTGTTTATCATGATTGAATAAGCCACGAAAATTGTTATGTAGAAAATGTAAAGATGAAGATAAGGTGAAGAAAAAGATGATCAAGAGAAAAATGCTCAATAATATATATTATTAGGGGAAGAGAGAGGAATCTAAATGAGTCCATGAAAGTAAAAAGAGGATTGAGAGAGAGAGAGTGTGTGTGTGTGATAAAAGAAAACAGGTAACAAAAAGGTTGGTAGGGAGGAGGCAGAAATGGGAAGGGAGGGTAAGATGAAGAACGAGATGATGATAACAAAGAAAAAGAATGAGGCAAAAATAGGAGGAAATGTGAATAGAAAAGTCAGAACGATGTTGAGAAGGAAACAGAAGGGAGTTTAAAAATGGATCGATTTGAGGCTCTACTTGAACTGCTGGTGAAGTCAAGAAGCAGCAGTAACATTAATACTAGTACTTATGGAGAGAGAAATAAATTAGGGAGATAAAGATGAGAAGAGAGAGAGAGAGAACCATGAAAAAGTAAAATCAATAGGATCAACAAATGACTTTTTATTATTTCTATTATTCTGGATTATTTTAAGTGACAGAATGAGAGGGAGAGGGGGAGAGATGAATAAATTTTCTATTCACGTTTATACACATAAAACGAATACCCAATAATTTAGATTCTTTATCATTCTCTGAACATTGTTCATTTGTTTGCTTGTCAGACACTTCTACTCACTATTAATATCATCAATGTTCATATCAAAGTCAAATTTAATATTCAATTGAATTAGATAAGGTTTGTGAGGAGGATAAGGTGGAGGAGGTTAGAAGAGGAGGAGAAGGAAATAAAGGAGAGAGAAGAGAAAAAATAATCTTCTCTCTCTCTCTCAATCTTCCAATGTAATATACAAGGTTAACTGAAAATAATTCACTTGCCTTATTTTGAGATGGTGAATTTTTCATCATAACCGAACCCGTTTTTGAATCATCATTGGTTGTAGTTGTTGCGATAGCGGCATCGGTGGTATTTTCAATGATATTGGTACCATCAATATCGTAAAATTGTTGGTTTACCTCTTTCTTTATATTAATCTGTAAATGATCAGTTGGTTTACAATCAATATTGTCACTGTTTTCACCTAAAGCACAATCACTGCTCATCTCCATTGATGATCGTCCATTTCCATTAACTGATAGACGACGACTACGTCGATTGACACGAGTTAAAGTAACGGGTGATTCTTGTTGTTGTTGTTGTTGATTTGGAGTGTTAGATGAAACAGCGAAACCAGAACCAGTGTTGTTATTACCAGACACAGATTTAGCACTTCGATCGTTTCCTTTTCTTCTAGAATTTGTACCATTTCCGTTAATCTCTTTCATGAGAGATTTTTTTACTTGAGCACTTGATTGTGTAGTTATCTCACTTCGTTTACTTTTACTCTGATAATTATTGGGTAATATTATCCTAGAATTTAAATTATTAGGATTAAATTTAACATCTTCTTGATTTAATGGTAATAATGTTGATAAAGATCCTGGTGTTGTTGGTGTAGGAGGTGCTGGTGCAGAAGATGATATCAATGCAATTGCTGCGACCGATGTTTTATCAACAAGATCGTAATTAATGAGATATTTTCCTAATTCTTGCAGATTGGTGAAACTTTTTTCTAAAATTCCTTCAGCCCAATCCAATATCAACCGTGTAGCCGCATTTTGAACAATATCAGGGGAAATTACATTTTGTTGCTGTCTACCAAATATACCATTAGTTATGCCATTAGTATTATCAGAATTAATATTAAAGCTATTGATTCCTACACAACCATCACCAGCTCTTAAGGCTTCTGTTGACAAAGATGGATCTGAAGATGAATCTTCTTCAATTGATTTGTTAATCCGCCTATCATCACCATTCGTGTTACCATTATTATTATTATTATTATTATTATTCAATGAGGTACTTGTGTTTAAGAGATCAGGTAAACAGGGTGCAGGTAGAGTTAATCTCTTTCTTAAGCCACTGTAACAATATTTCGAGTTGCCCCTTTGGCCCAATCTTCGAGGTTTAACTCCAGGGAAGACATGTTTCATTGCTTTACCAAAATCAGCCACACAAAGAGGTTCAAAGCTATTGGTTTGACAGAAGCAACGATATTCATCGTAAACCTCATGCTTTGGTAGTGAGACTGTTGGATCTTCCTCTAGATGACTTTGTATCCAGGTATAAGTTTGGGCCACTTCAACGTCCGCCTTCTTGCCGAATGGGTTTCCAGGTCCTTTGCTGTAATGGAAAAAGAAAAAAAATTTAACATCATGAAAAGGATTTATAATAGAAAGAGAAAGAGAGAGAGAGAAGTGATTAGATTTCAAAACACGATGAGAGAGAGAGAGAGAGAGAGAAAGAAAGAGGCTTGTGTAAATACGTTTACTCAACAACAATGATAAAGTAATCAGGTAAAGAGAGAAAGAGAAAAAGAAAGAGAAATGAAAGTCAGGAACACAGAAAATGAAAAGATTGATTGACAATCCTGCAAACATCAAACAATCAAAAGTGATTACGTGATAGGTGTTTACGAAAGGTACGGCTTATATAATAATCTATATTTTTTGTCTTAAATATGGAAGAGAGAATATAAGTCACCCTCATTATTACTTGTTCTATTCTCTCTTTGTGTTTTTTTGCTCTTCTCTCAAAGAGAGAGAGAGAGAGAAAGAGTTGCACGATAAAGAAGAGATTGCATTTTATTGCAATCAACAGATCGATATGATGATGGTCTGAGTTTTCTGATGTATACAATGTTCATCACGACGAAAAGCCATCATAAAAAACTTACTGTTTAAGAGGATCATTTGCAGGCGAACCACTGGGCAGTTGAATATAGAGCAACAACTTCTCGATGTCATTAAATTGGTTTATCTCATTCTATGGAAAAGAGAAAAGAAGAAGAAAAAAACATCAGAAAAATGCAATGAGAAGGAAAAAACGAAAGAGAGAATTGAAGATTTTGTGAGAGTATAGATGAAGGCAAAAAAAAGGAGATTATGATGATGATGATAAGATGAAGTGAAGAGCTAAGTTCGGTTGGAAAAAGCCAAGGTTAATTATCATCATAATCATTATCATCATCATTAATATTACAGTTAATTATGAAAACCTTCACATAGGGCAAAGGGTCAATTTATCTCATTGTGTATCTTTTATATAAAGTGTATGGAGTATTATGGATATGTGATTAAGGAGAAAGATATACAAAAGAAAGGGTTAAGAGTGACCCAGTCATTGGAATAGAAAAATAAATTGCTTAAGATGAGAGGCTAATTAAGATTCTCAAAGAAATTGAGAAATAGAAACGTCGACGTGAACGACAATCAAGTTTTGGGTTACACAGGGAAAGAGAGAGAGAGAGAAAGAGAAAGAGAAAAGAATACCAGAAAAATAGACAAGAAAGAGATTGAAGAAGAACCAGAATGAAGAGGGAAAAGTAGAAGAGAAAAAAAAAAGAAAACAAAGAACAAAAGAGAAAGAGAAAAGAAAGAGAAAAACATAAGATCGAAAAGTGTTAACCAGGGAAAGAGATACAATAATTGGTTATGGGTAAATGGATATAAAATATGATTATTGAAATGGCGATGATGAGGCAAACAATTGTTACAATGTTGATGTTGATGGAGAAGAGAATAGAACATTAAAAAAAATGGAGAATAGAATAAATTGACTTACGATTAAATGTGCTATCTTTTGTTTCACTTTTTCATTGGAAAGAGAATAAGAGAAAGGCAAAGACATAATGGAATAGAACAACAATGCAAATGAGACATAGAAATTATGTTGAGAAATTAAAGAGAAGGATTTTAGATGAATTTGCTTATATAATTGTAATTATTTATAGATAATTATTATTGGTGATGTATTGATTTTCCGCAGAGTAGTTGATGATTGTTGGTAAATTGATGTTCCTGTTACGAGAGGTTGTTGTTGGTGATCAAATGAAGGTGGTTGTGTGTGTGTGTTGTTGTTGTTGTTGAGAGATGTCAATGGTTTTGTTTGGTGTTTTAACAAGATGATGACGATGGACAAATGTGGTTGTTTTATTGACAAGAAGAAGTAACAATTATCATCCTTATTTTTTGTTTCTTCTCAAAGAAAATAAAGATGATCAGGAGAATGGAAAAAGATAATTAGTAAGATATGAAGAAGAGATTTTTCTTGTTGTTGTTGTTGTTCACACTGACGATGGATTATGATGATGATGATGATGAAAGAAAAGGGAGAAAACCAGTGTGACTATGAGAGAGATGAGGAGTTGAAGATGTTGAACAAAGAGAAAGAGAAAAACTAAGAAGAAAAAGGGTTAGGTATACATGTAATGGAGAAAAACAGTAAGAGAAAAAAAAAAAAAAGAAAAGAAGACAGAGAAAAAAAAGAGAAAATAGAAAACACAGAAAATGGTGTAAGATGATTTGAGGAAGAATAAAAGATTTTGATGAGGAAATTGGAAATTAACCTGATTGAGGTGATTGTTATGGGATAGAAGATGGTAAACAATTAATTAGACTAAATAATATTAAATAATAAAAAAACTAATAACTGTAATTGTAACAATTAATTCATTTTCTATCAGTTTTTAACGATGTTCACCTCACAATGTGACAACTCCATCTATTAGATTGTATTAAATAGTGTTGCGCTGATACTTTTTTAACGAGTAATATTATCGATACTTTCGTTTTCAATATTACTCGATACTTTTGTGAACGGTATCGAGTACTTTTTCCAGGCACTGAAAGTGAATTTTGACTCAGAAAATGAAAATTGAGAATATGAAATTTCACCAAATAGAATCAGAAAAATCAAAATATAGCAATACTGTTCAATACCCACGGTATTGTTGATACTTTCGATATTTTTCAATATTAAGTATTGAAAATATTATCGATACTTTGTTTAACAATACCGATACGTTCAATCAATACTTTCTATCGGTATCGCGCAACACTAGTATTAAATTGTAACATTAAGAAACCCGAGTGAGTCGATTTGTCTCCCGTCGAATCGACTGTGGCTCCATCTCTTGGAGTTTCCATCAACTATTTTTCTCATTTAAATTAAAAAAAAATTTTCTCAAATCTAATCAACCAATAGATTATTAATTTATCTGATTAATTGTTTGGGTTTTAATTGTTAATGTTTTTTTTTCTGGTTATTTCTGGTTCTTCTGAATTGTTTATCTATTTTATTGATTTATTTTCATTTTCATTTTTATTTTTTTTATCTCTCTCGTTATGTTAACTTTTTTTTTCATTGCTCTTAATTGTTGTTTGATATTATTGTCATTAAAATGATTGTGATTAAATTGTTATCATTAGAAATGGTTAGAAGTGTTAATCAGATTAGTTAGAAAGAGAAACAAACTGATTTCTCTTCATTAATCAGTTAATTGTGCTTTCTGATAATTTAATTGTTTCCCGTTTCAAGTTAATCGTTATCATCTGATTACAGTTAAATTGTAATCAACATTTAGATAATTGTCATTTTGTCCTTAATTATGTAGCTTTAAATCATCAAAGGTCATTGATTATAATTTAATTTATATTATTGTAAAGATACAAATTATTGATATGAGTTAATTTTTCACAATCAATTATGAAACAACAACAATTAGATTAATATTAAAATTCATCAACCTTTCATTTACTCTAAATCCAGTTAATCGCTAATTATTAATATTAATTGTTGGTTGGAAAAACTAATCAATGGTTAAAGTCTATTCTAATTAGATACAATCAACCCAAGTTGTATTTATTGTTGATTAGATTTTCAAGTTGATTTTTAAGCTCGAAGAGTTAATTGTGATTAGATTAGATCTCAAAAGTAAGAATTAACATTTAATTACCTTTTATATCATTTCTTATATTGGACTAATTGTCAAATTAACTTTGATTAAATGATTCACTCTCACTGATCAATCGTTAATTGTTCATATTGGTAATTGATTGAAATGTTATCATTGCGGTTTTTGTGCTCAATAGAAATGTCATTTTAATTGTGATTAATAATCAGTTAATTGTGAAATACTTTTCCATTTTAATTGCTACAATTTTTTTTTCAGTTTCATCATCTCCTTAATTGTTATTGTTTGTTGTTATCTTTAGGTTTGATTGTCAAGAGGAATTAGAAACTCTTGTTTAATCAGTTAACATAAACACAATTAACTTTATCATTGAAACTATTTTATAATCATATCATAATCTGTTAATCAATTTAAGTTGATTGTAAAAATAGTATCTAAATTGCTTGAAACTTGAGATGAAAATTTTGTTTTGATGGTTAAAATTTTCAACAATTAAATTGATTGTTGCTGAAAGACGTTCAATTAGCATGTTGTTAATAGATGATTTATAAATTATTGGTAATATTTAGCTAATCATTGATCAGATTTTAATGATTAGTCAACAATAATAAGAGTTAATCACACACTTCATGCGTTTGATCAAATTAACAATCAATTAATTTGCATGTTATGAAAACAAAAGACAAACATGAAATAATCACGGGAAAAGTTAATTGTTGAAACAATTGATGAGTTGGTTAATTAGGCAACAAGTTTTCTTGATTAGAAAATGGTCAATTAGATTATTAGAATGATGTTTTTAATCACGGTTAAAGTATTGATTATAATCGTGAAAAAATTAATTCCAACCTTTGTGATTACAATGATTAAAGATTTGATTGCTTAGGATTTTTTTTTGCTTTTTTCTCACTGTCAATATTAAAGAAAATTTGATGTAATTAATTTCGTCTCTTAATTAGCTGTTTTAGCATCGGCTGATGGTGATTTAATTGCTCCACTTTTGTTTGATTGTTTGAATAAAACTTTGCCCGACATCAAACCCTCTTCGATTTTGATCAATTTAAGTGTTATCCTGGGACCAATTTCTGTTAATCTGTTAAAAAATCAATCGAAAAGTAGAAATTAAGTAAATAAATCAACAAATTGACAATTTAAGAAACAATTACCTGATGGCACTTTTCTCGTTTACTAAATTTCCCGGTTTAATTGAACTTTCGGTTAATTTAATATGTCGATCAGTTTCCACTTCGTCAAGACCTTCACCTTCCGATTCACTTAGACCCAAATCACGATTGAAAAAATCTTCGACTGATAACAATTTACCCAAATTCGGTAATTTTTTACCACAGACCAATTTTTTCACAGGTTTAGAAATTCCCACTGGTTTAAGGCTCACAGAATAATGTCTAAATTCAAGGGAATTTTCTTCTTTGTTGTAATTGATTAGTACAACTCTTTTAAGTTGACCCACTCGAACCGTGTTAATATCGATACTTGGGAAAAGGTTTTGAAACATTGAACGCATTAATTTACACTTGAGATCACTTTCATCGGCCAATCCATTCATTACAATAATCGGCGGATTCATATGAGCTTTGGGTTGAATTACTGGTTTTCTAAGGCTTGAGACAACATCTTTTACCAGAGCAAATGAAGATATCTTGAAAACTAAGGTTGGTCCTCGAGGAAGTCGAGCAAATCGTAGGTACATTGCTTTCTTGGTTCGAGTGAAGATCAATAAATGGGTGACATGGAATATAGAAGCGACAGCGACAAAATCTTTGACCACGTTCTTTTTTCGAACCTTTAAATTAGCGGCTGTAAATGGTTCCAATACTTTCCTAAGATCCAACATCAATGATTGACCTGATTTACCAATTTTACCTCGTTTAATAACAAATGAGTGAGGTGCACTTTTCAATTCCTCTGGTTCAGGCACATCAGCACCACTTGGCTAAGAAAAAGATAAGCAAAACAACAAAAATATAATTAGAATCACAATTAAAGATTGAAAATCCATAAGAATCCAAACACATCAACAAAACACAAAAATCTTACCTTTTTTTTCTTATGTTTCATATTGTAATATTAATCTTCGAATCTCAGTTAAAAAAGTACCAACACAATGATGATCTAGAAATCAAAACAAAACAAAAAAATCATCAATTAATCAATAAAACAATCAACAATTAAGAGACAATTTAACAAAGAAACAACAACAGCATAAATGAACACATTTCCAAGTTTCTTCTTAAACCCAACCATTTAAAACCAATACAAACCTCGATTGAAAACAGAAATTAACCAACACGTAACTAAAGATGATTAGAATAAAATCAATTAACTAGATTAAAAAACCAAAACAATTAATTTAACGAAAAATCAACAATTAATTTCCAATTGAATTTAAAAACATGGAGACAAACACATGGTAAGAAATAGGGTCGATTATAAATCAAATTCTGCAAACAGAATTCAGAATTTGTCTTGAAAAGTGTAACGTTAATTGTTTTTTTTCCCTATTAATTGTTTGATTGTAAATTGTTTCTAATTGGTGTCAATTTATTTTCCAATTAATGAGGTAAGTTCGAGGTTAAATTTAAATTTGGTTAATGATTTAGGTGTAATTGTGATTAAGAAACACAAGTAAACAAAAGGTTTTAAATTAGACTCTAAATAACAATAACCTTGATCTTCATTTCCAATGTTATTATGTTAATTGTTGTTACTATTTAACTTTTACGTGTTACTGGTGGTGATTGTATGTTTCCATTTCAATAATTAACCTTCACAATTAAGAGTAGAGTTAATTGTCCGAATGTAAATTATTCAAATAAAGCGCAGTAATAGTAATCAACTGTCTTGCTCAATTAGAAAAATCAATTTACTCTTTGATTTTGATCAACCTTCTCACTTTCTCTCTCTCTCCTTGTATTTTAATAACAATTTAATTCTTACCTTTTTCATTCTCATTCCATTACAGATTCTTCAACGTTTCTCGACAAGTTAATTTAATTTCCCTGGTTGAGACCAATTGATTAGCTGATCAATTTCCATCTTGAGAAATTATTCTCTCATCAAGAGTAAATTCTATTCTCTTCTGTGTTGTTTACTTTGAATTCGTTGTTTTATCTCCTTAGGATTCTATTCTATTTTTTTTCTCTTCTTCTTCTCTAATTGTCTAATCCAATTGAATCATCATGCCTGGAGATGTTCATGGTTGGGATAAATTCTCAACAAGTCAACTCGTAATCTCTGGTCCTCATCAAAAGATCAAGGTTGAAGCTAAGCCAAGCTCAAAATTATCCACCAATAAACATTTTGCTGAGATGAGAAAATTTCATTCTGAAAAAGGACATCGATTGGTACTTCGTAAATTGTTTGATAAAGATCCTGAACGATTCAAGAAATACAGGTAAGTTAATTGATGTTTAAAAAGTCAACTTAAAGGGCAAATTGAAGGTTAATCAAATTGCTACAAACTTTCATATCTCCAAAAGTGTCATTACCTTTTCGCATATAATATCTTAACATCTTTACTTATAATCAATTTGATTATGTAAAGTTAACACTCTGTTGATTGTATAATCCATTAGATTTAATCTGCCATTCAAATTGTCTTGTCATGCAAATAAATCATGAGAGAATCAAATGGCTCATTAAGACAGAATATCTTATTTCCTTGTTTGTTTTGTTTTCTATTCTTTTAATAAAATCTATTTTTTTCCTTTTCAGTATTACTCTTGAATCTAAAGGCAATGGAACCATTTTATACGATTACTCTAAGAACCTTATCGATGACGAAGTAATGACTTTACTGATTAATCTGGTACGTTTTTGGTCAATCAGAATAATTAACTAATCATTTGATTGGATTTCCATTGAATCCTTGACTTGTTGCTCCGAGAATCATTTGTATCTTCAGTGTTCACTGGATTGATTTGCAATTTCAATTGTATTAGTTTCGTTGCTAATTGTTAGTATCTTAATTTACTGATTTCGATTGTTGAAATCCAATCAGTTGAATATAAATTGACAACAAGAAAGGTTGAATGAAGGGCAATCAATCAATCAATCAATCAATTTATGATCGGTTGTTTTATTTAGTTTTTTCCAAGCGATTTACTATTGTAATTTAATATTTTCTTTATCTTAATTGTTATTGCAAATTGTTAATTAACAGGCAAAAAGTGTTAATCTTGAAGGAGAAAGAGATAAAATGTTCAATGGAGAGAAGATTAACTTCACCGAGAATCGACCTGTTCTTCATATTGCTCTACGAAATCGTAGCAATAAACCAATTATCGTTGATGGAAAGGATGTAATGCCGGATGTTAATCGAGTTCTTGATCAGATGAAATCGTTTACTGAATCACTGATTTCCGGTAAATGGGTTGGATTTTCTGGTAAAAAAATTACCGATGTTGTCAACATTGGAATTGGAGGTTCAGACTTGGGTCCATTGATGGTAACCGAGGCATTGAAAGCTTATCAAGTTGGGCCCAATGTCCACTTCGTGTCCAACATCGATGGAACTCATTTGGCCACAACCTTGGCGAAACTAAATCCTGAGACAACATTGTTCATCATTGCATCTAAAACTTTCACCACCCAGGAAACAATTACTAATGCGACCTCAGCTCGAGAATGGTTTTTGGGAGCGGCCAATAGTGACATGAGCGCTGTTGCTAAACATTTCGTTGCTCTTTCAACGAACACAGTAAAAGTAAAAGAATTTGGAATTGCTGAATCTTCAATGTTTGAATTTTGGAATTGGGTTGGTGGTCGATACTCACTGTGGTCAGCAATTGGTCTCTCAATTGCTTGTCACCTTGGTTTCAATAATTTCGTCAAACTATTGGAAGGAGCTCATTTTATCGATCAACATTTCAAAACTGCTCCATTAGAACACAATCTTCCCGTAATTATGGCTGTTCTGGGTAAATAAGTTAACCTCATTAATTAAGTTCTTACAAATTTTTCCACAATCAAATGATATTCATCCAAATCAATCTGTTTTCTATTGATTATTGCATTGATTTATTACTAATTTATTTTTTTATGATTATTTTTGGTTCTGTAGGTGTTTGGTACATTAATTGTTATGGTTCTGAGACCAATGCGATTTTACCTTACGATCAATATCTTCATCGATTCGCTGCCTATTTCCAACAAGGCGACATGGAATCAAATGGTAAATATGTTACCAAGGATGGAACCAAGGTAGATTATGCCACCGGGCCAATTGTTTGGGGTGAACCAGGAACCAATGGTCAACATGCTTTCTATCAACTTATTCATCAAGGAACTCGATTGATTCCTTGTGATTTCATTGCTCCAGCTCAAAGTTTAAATCCTATTCGAAACAGTTTACATCATAAAATTTTACTTGCCAACTTTTTCGCTCAAACTGAAGCTTTGATGAAGGGAAGGAAAAGAGAGGAAACGGAAAAGGCAATGAAAGCACAAGGCGTTGATACCAATGCATTGGGAAAAATTCTTGACCACAAGACATTTGAAGGAAATCGACCAACATCATCAATTATGGTCGATAAAATGACCCCATTCACGTTGGGATCATTGATTGCTCTTTACGAACACAAAATCTTTGTTCAAGGAATCATTTGGAATATCAATTCATTTGATCAATGGGGAGTCGAGTTGGGCAAAGAATTGGCTAAGTCAATTGAGCCCGAACTTAATGACAACAATCAAGTAACTAGTCATGATTCGTCAACAAATGGATTGATTAACTTTTACAAAAAGATGAGAGGTTAAAGGAACAATTCAATTGTAAACAATTGTGATTTATTGGACAACTTACTATTGAAATGATATAATTTAATTACATTTCTGTACTTGTTAATTAACTCCAATCAATTCATCTCTTTGCCTTTATTGAGAAACAAAAAACTGAAAACACGAATCAACTTTAGATTTTATCAAAAGCTTTTTTGAGCTTCTGTTATTCCAATATTACTTACAATTTAACAATCAAAAATTTAAATTTTTAATTTTCAATCTTTAGTTGTTTCTATGGCAAGGAAAGAGAAACTAAAAGTTGCTGTTGATTAATTCAAAATTTATTATTTACATCTTACCTTCGTTCGGATTGTCATTTAGTTTATTGTAACCAATCAATTTTAACTACAAATTGTAATAGTTTTTGATTCTCTTTTGTCTAAAAATAAATGATTAGTTACAGATATGATTTAAGTTATAAAGTGTTTCACTTTATTCGTTGGTAACTGATTAGATTATCTTACATCGTAGACATTAAATTATCTTGGATAGATGGCCATCTCCAATTTAAGGTAATCTGATCAGTTACCAACGAATTAAGTGAAACACACTTTATTGACGAAGTCCAATTCATTAATTGACATTTGAATTTGAGATGGGCGATTATATCAAAATCATTGATTATTTTTTCTTGTTCTCGACATCGATTTTGAAATCTGGTCATCGATTATTTCTCGAACTCGGGAAATTGTTTATTGCTCTTAATTTCTCTGGACCAGTTCTTAATCAGTGGCACTTAAAGGATGTTCAAATTAAAACTTATAATTATCTCTGTTAAGATAATGAAAAAATCAAGAATAAATGAAACGTAATCATCAAATTATCATTGTTAGGCTCGTGTTCACCAACCGTAATTAAAAACAGTAATCAAATAATCCTGAGATCAGACCGATTCCGAGTTTCACCAAGCCCGATTAGTTTATTGCCGATTCTTTAATTTTAAGTTCAAATCAAGTTGAAATCAAATCAATTAAATATTAATTTAATTAGGAAATTGTCCCTAAAAAGGCGTGTTTTTGACTTTTTGCCGTTTTTATCCTAATTTTTAATTAATTTTTTTAACCAACCGATTATCAAACACAACAACGGTCAAAATAATAAAAACATATTTTTCTTTAGACAAAAGCGGTTAATTTGAAGGGGATAAATTAATTAATTGTTTATGGAAAGACTTGCAATTAATTATAGGTAATAGTAAGAGACCTTTTGATTCCGCAATAGATAATGATTCAGACGAGTCATCTGGTGATGAGTCAGATGATTCTTCAAGGGGTGCTCCAAAGCACAAAATTCCGTAGTACATGAGAGGTGACATTTCGGACATGTTCGTTGCTGACATTCCGAATGACAATAGATTAGTGATGTTGAACACCATTTATAAACATGCTTCGTTCAAATTTGTTAAGTTTAAAAAGTTTCCGCCGATCAAGACTCTTTATGAAGATCCGCTTTCTAAAAGAAAGGTCATTAAGGTAAAAGTTTCTCTTGGCATAGATGATGTTTACATAAGATTCTTTCAGAGCATAATTACCCCAGAACAGCTTTACCCTGATTACGCAAACGTGAAAATGAATACAAACTTTAACACTATTAGAGAAGTCAAAATAGAATTACATAAGCATAAGCAAGTAAAATCAAGAGAAGTTCGATGCTACTATTTTTTGGGATGAAAGCCAAGAGAGCTATGGAAATAGTTGAAGATGAAAAAATCAATTTTTTCTTCTACGCACAGCAGCTCAAAATACCAAATAGTCCAACTTATCTATGGAACGTCATCAAGATATATAAAACTGTTAATGAATACATTGACAACGCATGATTTGGATTGGTAAGTTTAGGATGCTATTTGTCCTAAATTTCTCTATTATTGTGATATCGAAAACTTTATGACAGATTAAAGAGCAAATCAAAGTGACGAAATTTCACAATTCAGGTGCTTGTAAAATTATTTGGAAATATTATTGATATGATTGCTTATCTTATATCGGCTTTAAAGCTACTTGAGACATAATAATAGCTATAAAAGGTAATCCTGGTGTGATCAATTGTCATATTAAAATATCAAGGTCATTCAAGTCATTGTTGAAAGAAAGCGTTTCAAGGTCATCTGAAGGTAATTCAACAAAAAAGATTTGGTTTAATTCGAGATTCATCAAATTTAATTGTTTGGCAAGTTTCTTGAAATTGATTTTCGATCTAGGATTGATGATTAAACCTCCGGATGTAATGGACAAAATTTAGCTGATTATCTTTTGTTAATTTCCAAAGATATTAATTGTTTTCTTTTTCTAATAGAAAATGAGAATAAAAGAGGAAGATTCTTTACCAATCACGAATGAGGAAAAATTGATCAACAAAACTCAGGAGTTGAGGCAAAGTTATCAAAAGAAAAATTATTTATAATAATTATAATATTTTTTTTTGTCCAATTACCTTCAGATGACCTTGAAACGCTTTCTTTCAACAATGACTTGAATGACCTTGATCTTAATCTTGATTTAATGCTTGTTAAGATGCTTTGTTATGTGTACCTAAAATATGTTTACAGCAAAAACAAGCATTTCTTGACCAAAAATCAATATTTTAGATATTTTAAGGTTTTCGGGACTAAAGGTCCACTTTTCACCTACGATATTGGTGGTGTTTTAAATCATTTTAAATGCTAGATTAGATCATTGTTAACAAGTACACATGCCAATTAGCACTGTCCGCCTCATGGTTGAAGAAAAATTATTAATAATAATATCTTTTTTGTTGAATTACCTTCAGATGACCTTGAAACGCTTTCTTTCAACAATGACTTGAATGACCTTGATATTTTAATATGACAATTGATCACACCAAGATTACCTTTTATAGCTATTATTATGTCTCAAGTAGCTTTAAAGCTGTTATAAGATAAGCAATCATATCAATAATATTTCCCAATAATTTTACAAGCACCTAAATTGTGAAATTTCGTCACTTTGATTTGCTCTTTAAGCTATCATAAAGTTTTCGATATCACAATAACAAATAATTTAGGACAGATAGAATCCTAAACTTACCATCAAATCATGCGTTGTCAATGTATTCATTAACAGTTTTATATATCTTGATGACGTTCCGTAGATAAGTTGGACTATTTGGTATTTTGAGTTGCTGTGCGTAGAAGAAAAAATGGATTTTTTCATCTTCAGCCATTTCCTCTCGTGGCTTTCATCCTAAAAAAATAGTAGCATCGAACTTCTCTTGATTTTACTTGCTTGAACTTTAATGTTAATAGTTTTGTTATCTTATGTAATTCTATTTTGGCTTCTCTAATAGTGTTAAAGTTTGTATTAATTTTAACGTTTGCGTAATCAGCGTAGCTGTTCTGGGGTATTATGCTTAAAGAATCTTGTGTAAACATCATCTATGCCAAGAGAAACTTTTACCTTAATGTCCTTTCTTTTAGGAAGCGGATCTCCATAAAGAGTCTTGATCGGCGGAAACTTTTTAAACTTAACAAATTTGAACGAAGCATGTTTATAAGTTTTTCTCGGTAACCATGATACATATACCGGTGTTTAGTTGTATCGAAAATGTATGTTGAAATATTGAAAATGTGAGTGTCCAATGTGATTAATCAATTAAATTCACTCAGGGCTATTAAGCTTATCTCATCTGCTTTCTCGCGTGCGATTTGTTGAATAAACTAAAATTTACTTTCAAGCGAATGCAGCAGGCGCAAGAAAATGAAAAAAGACGATTTTACGTTGATTAAAGTAATTTTATTAACCATTTCTTTAATTGTCACTCTACAAAGACATAAACAATGAAACCAATTCAACTTCAAAGTAGTAGTAGTGTTGTTTAAATTTCGCAATGTTTCGTTTAATAATCCAGAATTTTTTGGGCCTCGTCCACGTGGGATGTTCCATTTAACCGTTGACAATACTTGAGAGAAGGTCTTCGCCAACAGCCCTCTTTGAAAACGTAGCAGATTTATTATCACGATAGACAGCATTTCTAACTTGTCTGTAAGGACCAGCAATGGAGGAACTCTGAATAACGGCTGAAGCAGCTCCGATTAAGGCAACGAGAACCATGATGATTTGGAAGAAATTAAAATTCATTATGAATGAAAATTTTTACTTGAACACAAAATTTTTGAGAACTTGTTGATGAATTGATTGAAAATGATAAAAACTCACTGAGAACGGTTCCTTTTTATACCTATCACATACAGGTATTAGTTATTCAAATAATTAACATTTTTGCTGTGCAACAACTCATATATTGTTTTGCGTCATTATTATACTAAACATACTGTAGCGACAGTAACGTTTGAGCACGTGTAGTCTAGAAAAACAGACGGAGACAAAGAGAAAGAAAAGACAGCAAGAAAGAAAGAGAGCAGACACAAAAGAGAGAGAGCGTAAATATCGATATAATTTAAAATTATAATAATTTTGTAGGGTTTTTAATGCTTGTTAAGATGCTTTGTTATGTTTACCTAAAATATGTTTACAAATATTACTTAAATATGTAAATATGTTTTAATAACTTTGCCTCAACTCCTGAGTTTTGTTGATCAATTTTTCCTCATTCGTGATTGGTAAAGAATCTTCCTCTTTTATTCTCATTTTCTATTAGAAAAAGAAAACAATTAATATCTTTGGAAATTAACAAAAGATAATCAGCTAAATTTTGTCCATTACATCCGGAGGTTTAATCATCAATCCTAGATCGAAAATCAATTTCAAGAAACTTGCCAAACAATTAAATTTGATGAATCTCGAATTAAACCAAATCTTTTTTGTTGAATTACCTTCAGATGACCTTGAAACGCTTTCTTTCAACAATGACTTGAATGACCTTGATATTTTAATATGACAATTGATCACACCAAGATTACCTTTTATAGCTATTATTATGTCTCAAGTAGCTTTAAAGCTGTTATAAGATAAGCAATCATATCAATAATATTTCCCAATAATTTTACAAGCACCTAAATTGTGAAATTTCGTCACTTTGATTTGCTCTTTAAGCTATCATAAAGTTTTCGATATCACAATAACAAAGAAATTTAGGGCAAATAGAATCCTAAACTTACCAATCCAAATCATGTGTTGTCAATGTATTCATTGACAGTTTTATATATCTTGATGACGTTCCGTAGATAAGTTGGACTATTTGGTATTTTGAGTTGCTGTGTGTAGAAGAAAAAATTGATTTTTTCATCTTCAGCTATTTCCATAGCTCTCTTGGCTTTCATCCCAAAAAAAATAGTAGCATCGAACTTCTCTTGATTTTACTTGCTTGAACTGTAATGTTATCTTATGTAATTCTATTTTGACTTCTCTAATAGTGTTAAAGTTTGTATTAATTTTAACGTTTGCGTAATCAGCGTAAAGCTGTTCTGGGGGTAATTATGCTCTTAAAGAATCTTGTGTAAACATCATCTATGCCAAGAGAAACTTTTACCTTAATGTCCTTTCTTTTAGGAAGCGGATCTCCATAAAGAGTCTTGATCGGCGGAAACTTTTTAAACTTAACAAATTTGAACGAAGCATGTTTATAAGTTTTTCTCGGTAACCATGATACATATACCGTTGTTTAATTGTATCGAAAATGTATGTTGAAATATTGAAAATGTGAGTGACCAGTGTGATTAATCAATTAAATTCACTCAGGGCTATTAAGCTCATCTCATCTGCTTTCTCGCGTGCGATTTGTTTAATAAACTAAAACTTATTTTCAAGCGAATGCAGCATTTGCAAGAAAATGAAAAAAGACGATTTTCAGTTGATTAAAGTAATTTTATTAACCATTTCTTTAATTTTCACTCTACAAAGACATTAACAATGAAACCAATTCAACTTCCTCATTGAGGAAGTCAAAATAGTAGTAGTGTTGTTTAAATTTCGGAATGTTTCGTTGAATAATCCACAATTTTTTGGACCTCTTCCACGTGGGATGTTCCATTTAACCGTTGACAATACTTGAGAGAAGGTCTTCGCCAACAGCCCTCTTTGAAAACTTAGCAGATTTATTATTGATGATTGTCGATGTCAATAGAGTGAGTGAATAAACCGGATCGCCCTATTTCTTTTTGGGTCGTTGCAAACACATCTCTGAATTCATCAGTTTATTCATGTATTTTATTTTTATCCTCATCACTGACTTCACTGTCAATTTCGAGGTTCAATGATTTGCTTATATTATCAACATCAACAGTATCAAATTCACTTCCATTCATAGTCTCAGATTCACTTAAATCAGTTGCTTTGGTATCAATTTGTCTTGTTGGTTGACTATTTATATGAACTCTACCGGCTGAGCAATCAATTATAATGTTAGCTTTTGACATGACATCTTGACCGACCAGGACACTGAATTGTTTTGGTAATCGATCAATTACTTGAACTGTTGTTACAATCAATAGGCTGAGTGAGTTGACTGTTAACTGACTAGAAGCTATTAGTCTGAAGAGCTGATATTTTAAATCGACAATTTTCTTCACTATGACCTCTATGACCACAAAAATTGCAACTAATTCTGTTTGGATTGTGATTTCTGTCAGTGAGATCATTTAGCTTCTTTTCATATTGATTGAACTTTGATTGTAACTGGTTGAGTTTTGTTAATAATTTCTTTTCAATTGAGTTCGATTGATTAGCTTAAAGACTAAGTACATGGTTAATTTTGACCTCATCACTGGTAATGGCTTTATCGGCTAACTTAGCAGCTGAGATGAGTTCATCTAATGTTTTTGGATTTTGTAATGTAATAAGGAATTTAATTTGGGGTAAGAATCTCGCAGAAATGAAACTAATCATCAAGTTTTCGGGCATTTGGCTAGTCATTCTGAAGCAAAGTTCTTGTATCTCGTAGATGAAGCTAGTGGTTGGTTGACCTGGCCTCTGTTTACTATTGTGAAGTTGCTGAGAGAGGTGAGTTCGATAATCAGCTGAGCAAAGACAAAAAATCATTTTTTCCCTTAACTCTTCGTAAGTTTGAGGTTTTACACTGGCAGCATAAGAGCGGAAGGTAAGGTTTTACCAGCGACGAGCTGAACCTTGAAGGTAAAAGGGGATAATCTTAAACATTTCTTCAGCGTTTAACCCTAAAGCTCGAGATGCTAATTCGAATTGTAACAACCAGTCAATTACATCTTCATTGTCACACTTAAAAGGTTCAATAGTCACATGGTTTTTCAATAGGTTCGAAAGATTGACACGTATTATTGATGGGTTAGCTTGATTTGATTGATTTGATTGATTAAACTGATTATCATTGGACTCAGAATCCAAAGGTTCAGGTCTAGAAGTCATTATAATTGAGAGATGAGGTCAAAATTAATCTGAAAATTGATCGGGAGAATAAACAATTACTAGTTATCTAGATTAACTGTTGGAGCAACTGATTAATGAACTGATTACAGAGTAAAGCTCAAAGTCAAAAGAAGGTTATATATACTCGTTATATGAACCAAATGAATTTTAAACACAATTTATGAGAAAGGAAATTAATCTAAGGTTAAGCATACAATTTTATGAAAGGATTGGGTGAGTGAAGGCAGGGTTCAATCAATCCAGAAGACACAAATTCTTAGTCTTCACTGACTTGAATTTAGGTGTTACATTCGTCTTTACTGACAAAATGTGACAAGGTGAGTCTTCACTGACTCGTTTTTCAACTAAATCTTTACTGGATTGGTTGCTATCATCGATAATTGTATGAGTAGGACCTATCGATTTCAAACGATATTAATTATTCTAGATGGAAACCTAAGGTTAGTATTATCTGATTCAATTTGGTAATGGTTACCTTGATCTTAACGTGAATTTAAATGATGGAACGAACTTTTTAAAGGAAATTAGTCAAGAGTTAGAGTCAAAAGAGTCTTCACTGACTTCGTTTTAACTATCACAAATCGGAACAGGGTAAGGTTCATTTTATGATAAGTTAAGGTCGTTAAATTAGTCTTCACTGACTGTTTAACTGATTCAGCATTGGAAGTGATGAAAGAGAGAGGTAGCGATTACCAATCGACTTACTTTGGGTCGACCACACGTCCGTGAATTTACGCTCTTGAATCCTGATTTGATAGTTTTTATTGTTATTTATTGGTGATTGAGAGTTGAGTTTAACTCAACTTTATTGTTACAATCGAAAGGGAAAGAAAATTATTATACGTTTGTTTAGTTGTATTGGTTTAGTTGAATTCGTTGATTTGGTCACGACCACAAACCGTTCAGGTTGAGATTGAATGAAAGTTAACGTTAGATAATTTGTTTAGAATCGAAAAATACGAATTACCACAAAAGTAAACACTTTTCTTTTCGCCCTCACACTGGCCACCAAATTGTTGGGAAAAATTCTGATCACTTAAACTGTTGGTAACAATTAAACACGTAGAGAGAGAATCAATTAAACACGTAGAGAGAGAATCAATTTAACCTTTTCAGGTTATATCCAAACCGTTACTATTTCTTTTATTAAATTGATACAAATTAATTATATGAACATTATCGGTTGCTATATAAACCGATAATGTTAAGTACGCTGTTTATAACTTTAACAAACTTGGTTAGTAACAATTATCATTATTAGATCATAGTAGCATCGAACTTCTCTTGATTTTACTTGCTTGAACTGTAATGTTATCTTATGTAAAGCAAGTTGAATTTAAATCTAAACTGTTTCTTTTATTTTTTACATGAACTCCAAATTCCTATTGATTGCTTGCTATTATTGTATTTAGATCCAAAATTTTATTTCCCTAGGAACTGAACCATAACACCAACGAGGAAATTTAACCATAAAGCTTACTTAAATTTAAAGAAAAGAAACTCGAAGGCAAAAAAACTTACGTTAGTAAGAGCGAAGAATAAGAGAAACATTTTCAGCAGCTATCAAATCTAGAAATATTTACGAAATCGATAAATCAGATAAATAAAGATTGGATCAGCCCCTTGAGCTGTTATAAGAGGTGGATAGAAGAGCTACGGTTTTCCTCAGGGCGTCGAACAAGTTTCAAGCACAAAAACATCTAAAGTGCATCAAAGAAATACAAGACAAATCACCAAGGGAAATTGTTGAATACATAACTTATTTAATCAACTCTCTTTACCTTTCGGGCCCAATTAAACCTGAATCCTCATAACCTACTGCTTCTTTGCTGGTTATGACTTTCGCCAAATCGTCAATGAAGCCAGGATTTTAGCGACAACAATTTCCACAGAAACGGTATCTGATGTGTTGAGCTACTACCATGAGGTATGTATGGCTGCGTTAGATAGAGGTTATCAGGATAGTGGTAAAATTGGAGGAGCGTGAACTGTTGTCGAGATTGACGAGCGCAAGATCGGCAAGAGAAAGTACAACAGAGGACGGATGGTTGAGGGAACATGGATACTCGGTATGATTGAAAGAGGAGGATCAGGATATCGATTGGAAATCTGCCCTAATAACTGTCGTAGTGCTGATGCTCTCATGCCTCTCATCTTAAAACATGTTGAGTTGGGGGTAAGATCTTAGTTAATGGTTGGAGGTGGTGCTAACGGCATTCGTCACACGTATCCCTATGTTTGTTTAAATTAGGTTAGGTTAGGTCTTCATTAAAAGGGTCAAAATCGACATATGAAGGCCCGGACGGCCTAAGACAAGCAAACGGGCACACAAGCAACCCCAAATCACACAAGTACAGAAATGTAATTAAATTATATCATTTCAATAGTAAGTTGTCCAATAAATCACAATTGTTTACAATTGAATTGTTTCTTTAACCTCTCATCTTTTTGTAAAAGTTAATCAATCCATTTGTTGACGAATCATGACTAGTTACTTGATTGTTGTCATTAAGTTCGGGCTCAATTGACTTAGCCAATTCTTTGCCCAACTCGACTCCCCATTGATCAAATGAATTGATATTCCAAATGATTCCTTGAACAAAGATTTTGTGTTCGTAAAGAGCAATCAATGATCCCAACGTGAATGGGGTCATTTTATCGACCATAATTGATGATGTTGGTCGATTTCCTTCAAATGTCTTGTGGTCAAGAATTTTTCCCAATGCATTGGTATCAACGCCTTGTGATTTCATTGCCTTTTCCGTTTCCTCTCTTTTCCTTCCCTTCATCAAAGCTTCAGTTTGAGCGAAAAAGTTGGCAAGTAAAATTTCATGATTGGATTTTTCATCAAATTACAAAGTAAAAAAATCAAAGTGCCGGACCTGACAACTTTTCCATCGTTTTTGAGATCTGAAATAGCAAGTAATCTACTGAAAGTTAATTAACTATTGATATTTGGATATGATTTAAAATGATTGGATTAACTGGTCTTCCATCATCTTACATTTTAAGATATGGATTAAGCTGATTGAAAAGTGAAAGTTAATTCAAAGCCGTACGATGATACCATATCATCCTTACGATACCTTTGCAAAGTTTTATGGGCAAAGCTTTCAATAAGCTACGATCGATTGGAGCGAAATGAGCGATAAACGTTTGATGAATGAAATTATTCCAGCGATAAGAGTAATCAAAATTGATAAGTTGCAACTTTCATTAAATTTTCGATAATCAATTCAAGCATTGATTGTTCCATTATTCAAATTGATTACATGTAACTCACATCATTATTAAGATTCACAATCAATGTGTAACTTGACTGGGAGTAAAAAAGTTTCAACAATCAATCAACCATCAAGTTAATTATAATCGAAAGTGTTGAAAATTTTCTCGATCAAAAAAATTAGGTCACATTTTTGGTTACTCGAGGTGCTAGTAGATGGCAACATTAATTGGACACAATTCTAATTATTTGATAACATATACAATTGTATTTGAAACAATTTAAGTAGATTGAATTTTAAATTTCTCACAATTAACATGATAAGATAATCAGTACTAGAAATGATGAGCAACTTTATACAACAAAATCAAGACTCAAATCTTTTAATTACACAATTAAGATTGAATCAGCTAATTGTTGAGATTTGATTGATTATAAAAATGTTTCAATGTTTAACATTTATTATAATACATTGTATAATTAAATGGTTACTGATTAATAGTCAATATCGTTAATTGTGATTGATTAACTTTGAAAATTGATACAATTTGAATTAATTTTACCTGGAAAAAGTCAAACCATACACAATCAAGCTGAACCATTTGATTATGTATCAATCACAATTGTAACAATCAATAGACAGCATTTTAATCATTGATTATCAATTTATTCAAAATGTAACAATATTTTGATCAATAAAAAAACCAACTAAATTAAATTTATCAATAAACTACAAATTGTAATTATTTTCTCATGTACCAACAGGTTCAAACAGTAGTTAGCTTTGTGTTTACCTTAATTAACAGATTAACAATTAACTAACTCTTATTATCATCACAATTAACAATGATTTAAAAACTGAGTAACCAAAAGTTTTAATTGGTTAATCCAACACAATTAAACTAAACTCATTCATGTTCAAACTAACAGCAATTAATAAACAATTTTTTTATCATCAACAATCAATCTTAATCAAACTATCAACGTATTAATTGTAATCATGATTATAGTGATAATATAATGGTGGTCAGTCTAATTTTCCAATTAAAAGTTGGACGATCATCCAAATGACCTTGAAAGCTTAATAATTAAAAGAGTTAACAATTTAACAACAATTAACGAATAACGATAATTTTAATCAACATCACTAATTGTGACAATTGCTACTTGTTTTTAACTTAATTGTCAACTAATTATGTTAATAGTAATCTAAGAAATCAAGTAAAAGATTTTCAAACAATTAATCGTCTCGAAAAAGTTTCTTATTCATTACAACAATTAAACAATTTTCAAAAAGGGTAAAAAAGCATTTAATTCAGTATTTAATTGTGTTAACAATTTAATCTATTTCCATATTCGAAACTATTAAATTAATTAATTGTAACTTTTAACAATTGAATTCTTGATACACCAAAAGATAATCAAAACTGCAAATGTATTAGAGTCACAATTGATTAGATTGATTAATCGCTGGACAGAAATCTTAATGATAATGACATGATTTCTTTTCAAAATTGATTGTTAATTATCTTAATTATGGTTAACAGTTAATCATTGTTACCATCTCTCTCTCTCTCTAATGATTAACAATTTAAATTGTTCAACAATTTATAATGAATTGTAAAAAACGAGGAAAAATTAGATTAGGTTTTTAAAAAGTTAACTAAACTTTTCTTAACTTTAATTATCATTATCATCTGATTATTATGTATTTAAATTGTTAACTGTTAAATCTTCATTGTTGCTTAATTGTTAAGGTTAAACGATACATTAAATTGTTTACTTACCAAGTTAAACTTAATCATAATTGTATCAATGAAAATGTTTATTAACTATTGTTATTAAATTAACTAATCATCATAATCAACAACAACAATTCACCTTGAGCTGATTAAACTTACCTTTGGTCAAGCTTGAATACAATTGACTCTAAATTGTTGTTGATTATCAATAATAATAATTGTCAATGGATTAATTTAATTGCTTCATATTTAACATGGTAACAACCAGAACAATTTAATTTGATTAACTTACAATCATGAACGATATCAGTTATTAGATTGATATTGGAAAACTTTTTTTCGACTCTCGATAAATTGTTGATTCTATTGATAAACTAATTGTTACCTAATTATATCAATAGAAAAATTTATTTCAAGGTAACATTGAAATTTCATCTACTTTTCTTGTCCAACAATTAGTTTTAATTGTAAAGGTCAATCAAATCATTGGTATTGATTGATCAATACTGTTAATCAGAAATCTCACCAAATCTATTGAACCGAAACAATTTAATAATAATAATTTCAATCAGTCTGAATCATATGGAACCAATTAAGCTACTTGACTATCTTGGTAGTTAACTTAATTAACTTGGTCAACAATCATAATCACTGGTCAGTCCAACTAATTGTAAGAAACTTTTTTTGGCTGGAAAACTTAATCTCTTGAACCAAGCTAATTATCATCAATATTTAGGTTAATCAATCAGATTAACTGTTTAATCTGTAGCTTGTTAATCATGATAATTTATTGATCATACAAAAGAGATCAATGATCACAATTAAAACTGATTAACAAGAAAATGGTCCATTGTTAAAAGTATTGGGGTTGACAAGAGCACTTTTCGTAACAATCAATTGATTGTTACAAGTCAAAATTGTCCTTCAATTGATATTCATTTAAATTGTCTAATTACTCTATTAATTGATTTGTGAATGAAAAAATTGCCTGGAAAGTTGAGACAATCAACAAAATTTGATTAATTGCTAATTTGACAAAAACTTTTAATGTCAAAAACTGACCAGTAATATTTATATATTTAACTAACTCATTGATGATAATGGTCATTATTGTTTCAATGGTCAGTTAAGTGATTGAGTGACCTTTACGATTAAGAGAAACGTTAAATTATTGGAGGAACAATTAGAAACTAAATCAAATATGAAAAGATGATGATTAGAGAAAGTGGAACAATTCATTTTCAAATATCATTAGTTAATTGTATTTAGATTGATCTTAATTAGTTAATCAGTTTGAATGTTAACTTTTTGTTTGTATTTTCCAATCTCACAAAGATTATCAAATATTATCAACGTGATTTAACAATCAACTGATTGTAACCTTAATCAGAAAACAGATCAACTTAAATGGTTGATGACAATCAAAAACTATGATAATATGATTAACATTAATATCTTGATTACAAGTTATCAGAGTTAATTGTGATTAACTGATGGCAATCATTTGGTTTTTGTGTGTTCGGGGAAAATTTTCATCAAAACTGGATTAACGTTGATGATTAAGTTGGTAATCTGGTTTCTACGTAATTGATTACGTTGATTAACATTGAAATTTAGTAGTAGTTAATAGTTGGTGAAATTTTCCCATTAATGTTGACCGTCAAGGTTAAAGTTTTAAGTTTAATGATCAAGGTAATAGAAAATACGTTTTAATTGTTGATTGCTGGTTACACTAATTACAATATTAGTCTTGTCTAATTGTCAATTTAAGATGAAAAACCAATGCGATGAAATGTTAATTGTTGCCAACTAAATGTGAGTGGTTAATTCACCATAATTCATCTCATTCCCATGATGAGAACGGAAATTAACTTGAATTATTTGATTAATTCAATTTAAATATTAACATTATGACAACAAGCTGATTGGTAAATTGTTGGTAATCAAAGTTAATCATCACAATAATAAAGGATTAGTGTGAATAGTTAGAAGCAATTTGTATCTGATAATGTGTAGACTAAATTAATTGCATACAATTAAACACCAACCCTGAGAAATAATTGGATTAATTAATAAACTAATTCCAAGGATGATTAACAATTTAAATTGTTTTAATCAATTTTCACCTTAACCTGTCCCTTTAAATATTGTTAATTGTCATCATTAACAATTATAATTAAACAGTCAAAATACTGTTGATCATTAATTAACTGATTCATTCCTGACAGTTGCTCATCAATTAATAACAACAATCAGTTAACTGCAACAATTTAGCTAAAACAAAAGTTCAAGGAACAATTTAAATTGTAAATATAGTTTAATTCAAAGTGAAACAATTAAAAGGCAAGTGAAAGTAATTTTAATTGTTGAAGGTGAAAGATCAATGATTATGTTGATTATTATGATTATGATCATTTGTATTAGATACACTGATTACAATTAACAATCAAAATAGACAATGAGTCGATGATATAATGTTAATTGAGTCCAGTTTAAGTGTTGTGGTCAGTTAATATTCAAGAAGTTGTAAGAAAAAAACTTTTTTCCATCCATTTAATTTTGAAGGACAATTGTTGTTCTTGTGACTATTGTTAATTCAGTTGCTGACCGCACAACAATTTAGCTACAATTTAAATGGTTTTAAGTGAATTGTCGATAAGATAAGTTGATAGTAATAGTAAATCAGCAAACAATTAACCCTAAAGTTATCAAAATGAGAGAGAATTTTCTGATCATTAAGAATTTAGAGTTGGTCAGTTACTTGATTGTCTATTTAATCAAACTATTGAATAAAGATTTAATTGTAACTATGATAAATAAATTATTTCAGAATGTAATTATGAAATAGTTAATTAAAAATTGCGAATGTGAAAGTTGTAGCCAAGTTATTGATCTGGACGGAAGTCTAAGCTTACTCTTTAATTTCCGCTTCCAATTGATTGTCAAATGGACATTCATATGATGGTCAGTTGTTTTGCTTTTGTTTTTGATTCTGATTGTTGTGAATCTTTTTTTAATTGTAATATATTCACTTTCTGCTGGACAATGGTAACAATGAAAAACTTTAATGATTTAACAGGTTGACCAACGTGAGAGTGAAAGTAGATCAACTGATTGTTACCTTTCTCACGTCCAATTAAGGTAATTCAAGGCCTGAGTAATCAGCGAGTTAATTAAAAGTAATCAAATTTACTGAGATAAGTTCAACATCATTTCAATTAAATTGTGTAATATTCAAATTGTTGCCCTGTTGACCATTTGATAAGGGGCAAGTGATAATACGAGAAGATGACAGAGTTAATGGTTAGAGTGAAAATTACGAAATAGTAGATAATATGAATGGACAATCTTAATGAACGAGATTTGGAAACAATAGAGAAAAAAGTGAGTAAATGAGACTGGTCAGTAAGAGAAAAGGTGAGCCTTTATTTTATCCTCTTTCGTAAATGTCTTACTTTCATCCTGAGCAACCAGGAAAGTTTATTCTTGATATATAAAGGTCAAAAGTGGGTAGTGTCCAGTTGAATTTCTTGTCATCATCATCATCAGCATTCGGGGGTGATGATAACAACAATTAAGCATAAGAAACATTTTAACTCTTTGTGACTCCCATTTGTTGTATTGGTCAAGCGTAAAAAAACATCGCAATATTAGAAAGTGGCCACTTCGGGTTACCTTTGCGCTAATCTTGAAGAGGTTACCTAAAGAGAGAAAGAGAGAATGAAAGAGAGAGAGAGAGAGAGAGAGAGAGAAAATTGAAATAGAGGAGGAGAAAAGGAGGAGTGAAGTTCATGGACATTAATTGGAGAGAAGTCGAAAAAAAGCGAAAATTTCAGTATAAAAAGTCGGTGAAGCTCATCCATGTTCATTCATTGGTTGACTTGAAGTCGCAAAGTGTTCGTGTCCAGTGTTTCTCGAAATTGTATAAAATTTATCGCTTCATTTTAGTGCTCAATATTTTTCGAAAAGAAAAGTTTTCAACGAAATTATAAAATGAAATACTTGGTAAGTTTCCTTTCTCCTGTGTGTCCATTATACTAGTGGTCATCAATTGGATTTCTTACCTTTTCCATGTCTCTTCGTTAATCATTCCTCACGAATTTGTTCACAATCGGATTAGTTTATTGATTATCTGTTTCTCTCTTAAATTATCAGATTGTGTTAACTGTTTTATCCTCATTTTCCCTGAGCTTTGCCTCTGAAACAAAGGATCTTGTTGTTGCTGAAGCTGCTTATTCATCATCTCACTATGGATACCCTTCATCAAGTAGTCACGATGATTATGGTAAACACGCTTCCTCATGGGGCGACAATGGTCATGGTGCTTATGGTTAGTAAATTTGTTTAATTGTCAGTTGTTAGTTATCATACAAATTGTATTATCGTTTACTAAAAGAGCATCGAATTAACTTGATTGTGATATAATAGGAAGTCATGATGCTTATGGTGATAATGGTTGGGGATCCAATGGATTGAAAAAGTATGGAGGTTGGGGTTCAAATGCAGGTTACGGAGGTCAACATGGTAGCCATGGACATAACCAAGGTTATGGACTTTATTCAAGGTAAGTTGACCATCAGTCACTTAAATTTATTCCTATGAAATTATGAACAAGAAATTGGTTAATTTCAATTTACAAAAAGATCAGAAGAAAATCAAAATCAAAAGTGTTCAGTCAAGTTCAGGTCAGTTCCATGAAATCAGCTTTCCGAGACATTGGATTGGAACTTTTGACCTGGAAATTTTACTTCAATTAAGCAATTAGTTAATTAATAACAGTTTCACGGTTAACAATTTCTAATATTTCATTGCCAATGTCCATCACCAAATGATCAAATGAATGATTATCAACTTTTAATCAACTTAGAAACCGAGGTTATGGTTACGAAAAGCAATGGGCTTACGATAAAGAATACGCCAAAAAGGCTCATAATGGAGGTTATGGTGACCATGGTTCGAACTGGGGTCATCACAATAATCATGGACACCATGGTAAGATTGTAATGGTCAATGTGAATCGAATGGTCAGTTAACCATTTTGTTGTTCTCTTCCAAATCTCAGGTCTTGACTCACATGCCAACTATGGACACAACAAGTATGGAAACCACGACAAATATGGTAACTCAGGGCACGGACGATATGGTCACATTTTGGGCGCTTATGGATCGTCAGGCCATCAATACGCTGCTCCATCTTATGGACACTCATCCGGTGGCTACGGTGACCACGAACCCTATGCTAGTGCTCCCGTTGGTGTTACTTACTATTAGATTAATTATCAACTCTTATCATTATAATTATCATCAAATTCACATGAAAATTGGTTAATGGAAAACATCAACACTTATAAACTCATTTCAAGTTAATTCACAATTAACTTTTGTAATTAAGATCATTTATATAAACCTCAATCTGTTCTCATATTATTCTCATCAAACAATCAACTTTAATATCAATTGGTCAACAATATCACCAGAATCAAAAGATAAAATCAATGTAATGATCATTGATCAAAGTTTTTTTTCACTAGGAATAATTAACTAATTGGTAACAATTTAAGCTTAAAAATACAATGTATTTACCATATTTTACTTTCCTAAAAATGTTTGTATTTAAAACTAATTGTTGGTTAATTAACTGTTTTCTTTAGCTAAATTAACTTTGATCATTTTTTATTATTTCCTGTCACCAATACTCATTAATCATCTGAAATCTTGACTAATTCAACAACAATCAACCGTTTCTCAATCATCACAGACTCACAATTGTAATATTTAAATAAAGATTATTTTCAATTAATTAACTTCTGAATTATGAATATTCTCACTACCAATTGATAAACAAATCAGTCAATCGATTGTGCGTGAACGTGATTAGAACTTAATTTGGATAAAAAGACAATTATTTTAGCCGAAAATATTTCGTGATTGAATTTTAGATCAATTTACAAATTTTAATTGAGTTTCAAGATATTCAATTGAAAAGAAAAGGTAAACAAATACAATAAGAAAATATTTACCTGAACCACTTTGAGTGTTTTGTGAAGGTGCTGATGACATTAGACTCAGATCATTGTTATCGAATGACCCTGAGGGCTTCCTAAAGGTCCAATCAGGTGTGGGCAATGGACGCTGAGGGTAACGTTGAGACCAACGAGGTGAAGGATATGGTTGACGGGGATTACCCGGTGATCCTCTATTATGATTATTATTATTACTGCTATTTTCTGGATCGTTACTCAGATCATTATTACCGCTCTCTGGATAAACTGGACCATCAGGGGGAGATCCTTTGGATGCACACATTACCGAATCAATCAATTAATCAAATATATTTACCATATTTTGCTCTCTTAAAACTTTTCTAATGCAAAAACTAATTGTTGGTTAATTAACTGTTTTCTTTAGCTAAATTAACTTTGATCATTTGTTATTATTTCCTGCCATCTATACTCATTAATCATCTGAAATCTTGACTAATTCAGCAACAATCAACAGTTTCTCAATCATCATAGACTCACAATTGTAATATTTTCGATTGATTAACTTTTCTGTGTCAATCATTGACTAATTAACTAGAACTGTCTAACCTTAACAATCAATCACAATTAAGGGTAAACAATTTATTCCCCAATATAATTTACATTTGATTGTAGTAATTTTCTAATTTGTGTAATCATTTTGATTAATGAACATGCAAGAATCAATTAATTGTTTCAAAATTCATATTATCCTTAGAGGCAAATATTTGATACTAAACTAATTGGTTGGTAATCAATAATAGCTCATGAGAAACATTAGTCTACCATTAATGAACAATAATCGTCATAAATGAATTCAATCGTCCTACGACTATACTTACAATCACAATCAACTCATTCAAAACATTAATCACAACAATTAAAACTAAATTTGAAACAATTAGTTATCATTGCAACTTCGCCATCTACCGATTAAATTGGAAAATTTTTCTTTTTTCCTAAAACTTCCACCAGATGTCACTCACTTTTCTATTAATAAATCAATTTTTGTGGAGAAAAATTTTTCTCAACAATTAAAAGTTTTCTGGCATCGATTAAATTATTGATTAGAATTAATTACTGTTGATTAGATCAACTCTTTTGATAAATTAATTATCCGTCTAGGGATAAATATCAACTTCAAGTTTTATCGAGAGAAATGTGATAACAATTTCCCTTCACTATCATTTTAATTACTTTGCTAATTAAATTAAAATTCAATCATGTGAAAGATGTTAATTAACTATTTACATTGTATTAAATTTCATTTATTAATTAAGTATATGTGTATTTATATATATTACATTTCACTATTTTATACATTTATCATAGTCAAAGTTATTTACAGATTTAAAAGTTTAAATAAATTTACAAATAGTTGCAGTTGAATGAAAATTAACCACAACAATTAAAGATTCAATACCGAACCCAATTAAATAGTGTGTACACAAAAAAAAGAGTGAGAGTTGATTAACTGATTAAAATCAATTGTGGAAATATCTGATAATACAATTTGATTGTTTCTCATTGAATCAATAATTAAATTACCAGACTAGAAGACCATTTATCAAGATGGAAATTAATTGATGTAAATTTAATCAGCTGATAGACAGTTAGATGATTTGAAGCATCAAGTTAACGGTAAACAAACAGAATGAAAAAAAGTACAATTTAGCAAAAAGGTAACAATTTATATTGATAAGTAAGATTAGATTTGAAATTCAAATTAATCTCATTCAGATGATTGGATGGAAAAGTTCATGAATCTAATCAGCATGATGATGATGATGATGAGGATGCTGATACAATGTATTAGATGAACCCAATAGCCTGAGAGAGATAAGCTGATGATTCAAGACCGATGTTGATAATGGTATTGATGAAAATAATGATACAAGAAAAAAAAAGGTTGTTACAATATTGTTATTACTTGAAATTGATTCAATCGATATGTTCAAATTGATTGTGTTACATATTCATTCAGATGAAATAACCTCATGTAATTTGCACTTTTTTGCATGATAAGTTCAGTGAAAGATACTGAGAGAGAGAGAGAGAGAGAAAGACATGATAGATCATTTTCTTTATTCTCGAAAAAGATAATTTTTTGTTATTATTATTATCATCATGGTGATGATAATATTGTCTAAGAACTGAAAGGAAAACAGAACTTTTTTTCCCTGTTTCTTGCTATTTATCAGAATAGTAAACAGAACAAAAAAAGTTCTGATATCAACATGACTATTATTATCATCGTGATTAGATTGACAATAGGAATAAGATGTTACTTGCTTTGTCTGATTTGACAGAGGAAGATGAAAAATGATGATAGAGAGAGAGAGAGAGTTACCTTCGCTGTAATTGCTGTTTGTTATGTTAACCTGAGCTTCAGATCATCTGAAGACTCAAATCATTATCACAGTCACAATTAAAAGATTACTAGGTTTTAGCCATCAGATGTAGATACTTAATCGATGATTGAATAATTGTAAGGCGATTTTATCGATTGGCTTGAAATCGTTTGAAGCGGGAAGAGAAAGAGAGACAATTATTGTTAGTCCGTTAATTGTTACAGTTAATTAAAACAATCAATTGATGAAAGATTGTTGCTGAATCACTTTTAGGGGTTTGATGGTAAAACGAAAATGATAAATCGCTTGGGTGGATAAGCTTTTACACTTGGTGGGCTAAGAGATTTGGATTTGCTTCATCTTCTTGATTCACTTTGATTGTGGACGATTTCCCATTGGCTTAACAGCTTTTCAAGGCTGATAATTCATCCATTTCATTAGGAAAAAAAGTTCAATTGCTTTTTTTCAGGACCATTTCTGATTATTTCTTTTTCCTTCTTTATGATTCTGAATTATAATTCTCATGCAATCTCATGAGTCAATAGAGATGTTCCTTTGATCTGGTTTCTTGTTGACAGAGTGATGAAATGTCAAGCCCTTGGTTTGCTTGGGTAAAGTACGTGCGTAGGTTTTGATCATTTCATGATTGTTGGTTGATTGTTTAGGACAAAACAGCTTATCCTTAATTCATTTCACCGGCATCATTAAGATTAATTAATTGATGTTGATTATCCTTGATTACTTTTGACTTCTTTCAAACGATTCCAATTACTATTCCTCCTCCTTGTAATTGAGTAAATACAATTAATGCAATATTGCAACCAATCAACATGAAGATTACCAATTGATTAGGATATTGAGCTAATCCATGATTAAGTGATTTTCCAGATTTAAAGCGACTTCGCCCATTTTGTTGATCCTTTGAACTGAAAGCTAATGGAAATGGGAAAATAAAATAAATAGAAAACAAAATAAGAAATTATCATTTAAACAAACATAAATGACAAGAAGATAATGATGAAAAGGGAGGAAAAGAAGGTTAAAGGTCAATTTTGTTAAAAGCTTTTTAGTGACATTTCCGGTTCCCGTTGACTGTTGCCCGTTAATCAATGTTGACAAACAATAAATGATAAAAGGGGTTAATCTATGTTTACTTTGTCTTGAGGTTCAAATGATAATATAAAAGTGACCAATTGAAAATGAGATCTAATAAATGGATTGGTCAAGTGATTTATGAGAATCATGGTCCACCCTTACACTACGATAAATGAAACATTATTTGAATGTTCAACTAATCATGATTAACTTGAAATTATCTGAAAGATCAACCAGTCGCTCCTAATGATTGAGAAAGGAAATTGATTTCAATTGATTGTAATAACAATTAAACAAATTGGACATAACTGTCAAATTGATCATTCAAGTGTATACTATGTTTGTGTGTGTGTGTGTCCAGTGAGAAAGTGAATGAAAAGGAAGATGAAAAATGACCATCACATTGAGTTGATTGACAAATAGAGTAAATAAAGAGCAAGTCAAACCAGAAAAGGATAGATGACAAAAGGATAAAGATGGAGAAATCAATGAACAGGGTGGAAATAAATAAACTGAGAAATCAGTTTATCCACAACTGAGTAGGCGTTTAAATTGAGTTTCAAGAGGTTTAAGATGTTCAATTGAAAAGAAAAGGTAAACAAATACAATAAGAAAATATTTACCTGAGCCACTTTGAGTGTTTTGTGAAGGTGCTGATGACATTAGACTCAGATCATTGTTATCGAATGACCCTGAGGGCTTCCTAAAGGTCCAATCAGGTGTGGGCAATGGACGCTGAGGGTAACGTTGAGACCAACGAGGTGAAGGATATGGTTGACGGGGATTACCCGGTGATCCTCTATTATGATTATTATTATTACTGCTATTTGCTGGATCGTTACTCAGATCATTATTACCGCTCTCTGGATAAACTGGACCATCAGGGGGAGATCCTTTGGATGCACACATTACCGAAGACCATTCTTTAAGAAAGGATCGACCTGTGATGATGATTAGAAAGAAAATGAATTAAATTAATTAACTCTCTCTATATATAATCGAATCAATTAATTAATCAAATTTGACTTTAAGCGATCGCTAATTTCATGAGTGAAAATGGAAGCGGGATTTCACTAATAAAAGGTGTTGCAAGATTATATGAACAGAAATGAGGCAAAAATGATGAAAATATAATGATAATAATAGATGATCAAGATGAAGAGGATTAGGTGAATGTCCGTAGGGATAAAGTGATGTTGGGCGGTCTGAGGGATGATGAGGATCATAATCATCATCATCATCATGACTATGGATGATAATATAAGCTGACCTCTGATATACTATTTATACCTTGGCTTAAATGAGATTTTTCCAGATAAACTGGTTCCTTGGGTTCTAAGATTTTTGGTTACCTGCACCCTTAGGTGTTGTTACTTGATTGTTGTTCACTATTATTATGCTAACCTTTTGTTGTTAAAAATTAATTGTTTACCTTTTCATTAACTCTAATATCTACATTAATGGGCTAATTGTAACCTTTAATTTACTATTAATTTGTATTACTAGACCTTTCGTTTACCTTTTCAAAGGAAAAATGACCGAAAAGAGGAGGCGGATGATGAGGATGCTTAAAGATGATAGAGGAGAAGATGATATTAATTCGAGAAGAGGAGGAAAGAGAAGATGAAAAATTATCATCAACTTTCTTGCCTCAGAACAGTTTCATTAATATTACACAATTAAACTTTTTTTCATTTCAATTTTTTTCTCTCCTGAATTTCAATTGTTTCAACATGTTTACCTCATGACAGTCTAGTTTTTTTCACTCTCTCTCTCTCTCTCTCATATATTTCATGATAATAATAATGATGATGACGGTGATGATGATGAGTAAAGTTGATGAAGTTAACTAATTTTTTCTTCTTATACATTAGTTTTCCAATTTGATGTTGATGCAGGAATCGTGATAACAATCATGATTCCTTGTTACCTGTGTCAACACTTATCTTGAAATTGCATGTTTATCAAAAATTTTCAATGCAAATTAACTGGTTGAAACATGGAGATTCAATTGAAATCAAACAACAATCTAATTGCAAATTGTTTCAATTTTGTTCAATTGACTCAAAGTAAAAAGGTAATTGTATTTGATTATTTTATGTATATATAGTAAATTGGGTAACAATTGACTTAGAGGAGAAAATAAACTTTTTCAAATTGCAATCCAGTGGAAATCAAATTTGTGATTTAGGATTAAATTAATGTGAATTTACAACAATTGATTAGATCCTGGAACACAAAGAAACTGGGATTGCATTAATGATGATGATGATGATGATGATGATAACAATAATGAAAATGTATTTGAAAAGTTTGTTAAGTTAGTTAATCAATTGAATTGTTAACAGAGTTGATGGATAAGATTGATGATGATGACGATTAAAGTAAATACATTGTGTAGTATTGAAGGGAAACAAAATGTTACCTCCTAACAAAAAGGATAAATAAAGGATGAGGTTAAAAATTAACGAAGGATAAAAAAAGAGAGGGAATGAGATTCATAGTTAATCCACTAATTAGTTGATAATTAGGAATGTTTCGTAAGGTTTAGTTTCAATTAGAGTTTAACTTGAATACCATTCGTTGATTAAAGAGTAGCAATTACAGTGTAATGAAAAAAAGAGGATAATTTTGACGTTAAGTTATGCACAGCCACTTTTGAACATCATCTCTCCATCCTCATCTTTTTTTTCTGGTTTTTCTTGTTCACATTAATTTCAAGGTTACTTGGCATCAGGATGACAAGACAATATGAGATGATGAGGTGTTGGGATGCTGAGGTTGATGGTAATGGTGAAGATGATGTGTGATGATAACAAGCAAGTGAGTGAGAGAGAGAGAGAGAGAGAGCAAACTAAAGTGATATAGTGATGCTAATTAATATTATCAACCTCTATGGTTACCCTAGATAAAAGGATGAGGAGGAGATGATGATGATTGAGACCTCAAGATGAGAAGGTTTAATATTAGGAATAGGAAACAAGATATTGTTATGTTGAAGCTTTTGTTTATGTCTAAAAGGATGTATCCATTTTATTCACATGAGAATAGATTAGAGAGAGAGAGAGAGAGAGAGAGAGAGAGAGAGAGAGAGAGAAGAAAAAGACGAAATGATGATGATGATTAGGATGAAAAAAGGAGATGAGAAGATGCTGATAATGTGAAAAGATGTGATTAGATAAAAAGAAAGCATGATGATGATGATCAAGAAAATTCTTATGGTAAATATTAGCTATTCTATCTTCCTGGCTTCTGAATTTCTATCACCATAATCACCATCAATACTATTATCATGATCATTTGAATCTTTTGTTTGAAAATTGTCCTAAATTATTGGTTCTGTTTTCCGGAAAATTGGTTGACATTAAAATTCAATTGAAAAAGAAACAAAAGAATGAGAATGGCAACAAAAAGAGAAGAGGAAAATTCATTCCATTCTGAGGTTTTCTTCATGGTTTTTGCCTCAGATAACATGATAGGTGAAGATTGTGTTGAAAAAGTTTCATTTCAGTTTCCGAATTGTTATCAAAACCAAAAGAACTGACACTTAAATAATAGCCTAATGGAAACCATATTAATCTGTGCACTTTGTATTCAGGTGATGATGAAGATGAAGATGAAAATAATATCGATGTTTAAATTCAATTTCATCCTCTGCTGAGTTTTTGCCTCATGAAATAATGATGATGATAATTGACGAAAGTGAAAGAAAGAACAATAAAAGAAAAAAAGAAAGAAAGAAAAGGAAGATACGATGAAAAGAAGATGGATGAAGATGATGAGAAAATCAAGTGCAAGAGTTTGGTGAATTGGAGATGAAGACGAATCTTTAATACGAAAAAAAGAAGATCACAGAGATGCTAAAGATGAAGGATGACTTTCTCTCTGGACTTTCTCTGTCTAATCTACCAAAAGGAAAGATGAAAAAGAGAGAGAGATGATAATCATGATGAAATTTCCTCAGGAGAGATATTAAAAGTTCAATTGTATGAATAGCTTATTACTGATTCTTTACCATGTTAACTTTCATTTCCAATGGTAATTCACATTATCTTTCATCTAAAATTGGAGATTTTTATTCAGCCTCGTTCATTATTTTTACCTCTTATTCCATGTGAATGATGCTTAAGATGCTGAAGATGTTTAAATAGAGAATAAAAAAGGATACACAGGAAGAAAATATTCTTTTCAAGAGAAAATTTTGCCTTCAGGGTTTGATTTTATCATGAACATGGTTAGATGAGGTTAAGGTTTTATGGATTCTTCAGATTTTGAGTCATTCTTTGTTACAAAGAAAGAGTAAAAGTTGAAAAAGAAAAGTTCTAAAGATAAATTGAACTAAATGGAAACATAAAATAAAATAATATAAAACATATACAATAAGGAGACATAACTTGATATTGATCTAATGTGTTCGCAGTTAGAAAATCATAATATCGCAAAGGCAATAGGATGAAAGAGGAAGGTGAAGGAGGAAGAAGAAGATGATGATGATGATGATGAAGATGTGAAGAGATTCTGAAGAGGGTGAAAGGAGAGGCTATATAAAAGCTTTTCACTATTGGGTGTGAATCAAATTTTTCGAAAATTGATGAGATCTTAAGATGAAATGCTCATAGTCATCAGTTATATTATTTTGGAATCAAGTTTCATCCTGGGGAGAAGATGAGAGAATAAAAAAAAATTCGAACAAAAAAGTGAGAGCAAAAAAAATAGTGGGAAATTTATGCAATTCATTCATAAGAAATGACTTGATGTCGGGTTTCATATTGGACATAAGAGGATGATGAAAGAATGGAGGATGAGAGATGATGATTAGAATGGTAAAAGACAAAAGGAAGATGGTGATTATGAGACTAATGAGAAAGACAAAAAAGAGAGATGCTCAATGATGATAACTGTAATGATACTGATGGAGATAAAAATGATTAGAGAGAGAGAGAGAGATGAAAAAAGAGATGAGGATTAAGGATAAGGGATCAAGATGAGGGTATATAATGAAGGCAAAACGAGCAGAGACTTATAATGAAAGGCAAAGAAATGATAATAATATTCTGAGTCCTTGGGATGAGGATGGAGATAAGGAAAATTTGATATTATCAGTTATCTTCATGACTTGTGAGTTGAACCATTTGAAAGATTAGGTTAAAGGTTTTTAAATGCAGTTACCTTCATCTATGGTGAACTTTGTGGTTATCATGAAATAGTAACATAGCAAAAAGGGAAAACAAGTAATAATATCATTCTGATTCTAAGTATTCAGTGTGTGGTTCAACCAGATCAACTGGAGCATGTACATAAATACACATGCATTATAAAAGGGATTAACTATACGTTGCAACTCATTAATTAAACTTAGAGTCTCTTTAATTGTCATTAGAGGATTAGGAGGAGTTAGTGTAATAAAAAAAAGGTAATAGTAAAAAAAAGTGATATTCATTTTAAATGGTGAAAGAGCAATGAAAAAATCCTCATCTTCGGTGTAAGTGGTTTAGATGCTTTTTTTGTCACATTCTTGTTGTTATTATCATCAGCTTTTAAATCTCTCCACCCAAAATAGTTGCCCAGGATGGATTAAGGTTACTAACCTCGATAATTAAACTTGATATTTGGGTACAAATCTAATAACAACAGATCAAAATATATAAAGAAGATGAAAACAAAATATACCAACAACTTAAAACTTAATCCAGGTTATATCTTGTTGTTCATCTTCTTCGGGGATATACAAGCAATTGTAATGGAAAACAATTCGGATGCAACTTTGCCTATTTATCTGTCATCTGAACAATGAAATAATGATAAAATAAGATGATCATCTATGGGTTTCGAGTAAGGAGAGTGAGTGAGTAAGAGAAGGAGAGAAGGAGAGGAAGAAAAGATGAGGAAGATAAAGGTAGATGTGAATTGAGATTTGATTTTTTCTCTTCTCTTTCTCTCT